CGCAAATCCAGGTATTGTCTATCGTCACGAAAATAACATTTACCATTCAATAATAGAACAGTCATCGACCTACTTGCAGTGAATTGAATCTAAAATGTATTCATGATGTTATGATGATCTGAAGTGTTAAAAAACGTAGACAATAATAGTTCAACCAACTTTAATACCACAAACATAAATGTGCGTGTCGATATTTTATTGCTTTAGAAATGTGATTTCCAAAAAGTAGTGCATCGTATACGTAAGGGCTTGTTTTATTTTTGTTTTTTACTTGCAGCGTTTGACAAATAGGTAATAGGTAAATTGTAAAGAATATAATCAATAATATATAGCATCTAAAACCTATTATTATTGAAGGGTCCTTTTAAAGTTTAAATGGGATTTTTTTAAAGTTATATTTTTAGATCATTAGACCTATTGAACGAGCCCCCAATAGCCCCGGGCCCCGGTGGCTGTGCACTGACTGCACTGTTTGATACTATGCACTGTATCAATCGCTATAGAAGTGGAAGACCATAATGTATTGAAATGAAATATACCTCTCTCTCTCTGGTAGGGCCTACAGTCCAATCAGTGTGTAGGCCCTAGTGTAATGTGTAGGATAGTGTGGATTTAAACATTTTCCTAATGGTAATGTTCAAAATAAGTGTCAAGGAAAGTAAGTATGATTGTTGGAAAAAATGGTCAACATTTTACTTTGAATTCTCACCCTGACCTGGGCGAAGTGGGCGAAGGTCTGGATCCGCGTCTAGTTAGCATGAATTTTGTAAGCCAGGACCTATAGTATTTTGTTACGTTTCTTCACAGAATGGTGTTCGTCCGAACCCCTTGAACCCCCACCCCCGGATCCGCCACTAATGTGCTAATAGTTAATATAGCTTTTAACGATGCGAAGATAAAGTCCCTCGATTTGGTGATTAAATCGGCAATGCCCTGAGAAAACTTCAAGCAACAAATTGAAATGCTTAAAAAAGAAAGTGCATGTTTTACAAGAGTGCACGAGAAGCGCACACACAAGACGAGTAACCATTATTTTTTGTTCACGGTAAACAAAGGGGGTGGCTAGCCACCCTATTCACCACCCCCACCCAGATCCGCCACTGATTGGGGTTTTGTATTTTAAAAAAGCAAACTATATTTGTAATTGAATTATATAATTTTGTAATTGTATTTGTAGATTTACGATTTAGGCCTATATTTGTAAATGGGAGCAACTTTAATTGTGTAATTGTTAATCACCATAGGAATTTAAATTATTTTTACGTATGTGGTGTGTCAGAAGGTGCACAACTGAATGGTGTAGTAGTGTGAGACAGGGCGGTTTTGCCACTATTTAAAAAATGTCAATGCATATTAATGATATGTGCTACTCATTTATCTATTCTGGAACTATTGTGTGCCCCTCCCCCTTTGGATCCACCCCTGTGACAAGTATCAACAGTACAGTAATAATGACATCATACCAATTTTCTTCTAAAGTTCAAAACCCACTGTTTTTTTTAACTTGTGGAAAGGATAACATTGACTAAGTTACTATAAATTAAGATATATCATTATTTTTATGAATGTGGGTATGTTTGTTTGTTTATTTATTTATTTACTCCAAGATAGAGATGGCAGGCTATAAAGGAAATTCCTATTCCCAATAGGATTCACTTACCATATACATTCAGAACTTTATTATTTGTTAACCTAAAAATCCATTAAATACGACTTGCTATATATAAGGCTATAGGCGTCTTCCCCGGAACCGACTGGGACTTTCCCCTGCCTCCCAGGCAAAGCTTGAGCAAATTGTTAGCTCAAAAATAGAAATTTTAAAGTAATTCGTATATAACCCACACAGGTTGTTGTTCGCACAAGTGGATCTTCTTCCGCTCGAACTAGCATCCGCTCGAATTCGCTCGAATTGGCCGTCGCTCGAAGTGGCATCCGCTCGAATTGACTGGTTCCCAGGCTGGGACATGAAAGGTTGTTGTTTGTTGTTATTTCGCAGTTTGCTACGTCATCAACGAGTACAATACATTCAATCCCGTAACATGATTGGTCTGTTTTTTTCTAATTTGCATAATGAATTTTTCCAACATTTTTGTCTATTTAAAAAAAAGTGTGTAAGTTATGGAGATGGTAACCATCATTAATCGATTATAAATTTAATTATACATTTTTAGACAAAAAATAAACCCTCTTGGCCCACGGCCCATTTTTTTTTGACACCATGACCATGCGTAATATTAACCTGCAGTGTATATATACGAAGATTTTTTTCTAGTAATATTAGAGTTGACTAACTGGTACTTGGTGTGGTACTAGGTTTATCGCATTTATGGCTTAGGGACCGCGGTTTACCTCCCTGCGTTTAGTCATGCTGGATCAGGAGTAGTAAACTCGGCGATCGTGGGTTCGATTCCCACACGGGGCAAGTTTTTTTTTTTATAAATTTTTTTATTTATTTTTAATTTTTTTTAAGGTCGTGGGTTCGATTCCCACACGAGCAAATTTAATTTTTTTTTTTTTTTTTTTTTTTAAAGGCAGTTTAGTTGATGGTGGCTA